ATATAGCTAATGACAAGTGGGTTGGAAGATTATAGAGAATTTAATATTGCTGATTTTTTCATTCATTTTACATATCATTTACTAAACTTACCATGCTCTGTTCAGCAAAATACGCTACACTGTATTTAATTGCTCCCTGCTTCGGCTGTGCTGAAAGTGAAAATGAAAGTTAAAGTGAATGGCCATGACTAGAAAGTAGTCTGTGCCTTCTGCTGGATACATTGTACAATTACACCTTTTGCAATGTAAGGACACGGCTTGTTTCCAGTGTTTATATTGACACATAATGGGACAATATTACCAATACCGATATGTCCCCAAACGCCTCTATTGTCCTAAAATATTGGCCCTACTGATATATTGGTCGGGCTCTATTCTCAATAATATTGAACTTTAACTAAGAATACACTTTCACTGCAATTGCCACCAGTGGTGTAGTCTACATGATATCCGGGCATACGGAATACACCAACTAGAAAAGCTTAACAATTTCAGTATACCCATTTAAAAGTGTCCAATGATACATGACATATCATTAGGCACGTGTCACTGATACAATAAACAGCAATTAAATGCTTCCGTGACAATCTATCATTATGCAGCACTTGTTTATTACATTTGCTTATCCAGCAAATTATTGTATAATACTTCTGTACTCACTACTTAATACTTGAACATGTTTTGCTTTGATACTGTTGTAAATTCAATAATATGTTTTCAATACAAAGTCAACTGTTGTTCAAAGTCTGTTGTTCATTTATTCAAATATAAGCATCAGAGAAATTTGGAAATGTTCAATATGCTTAAAAATCAAAATAAATTTACAATTACATTGTACTAACCAGTGTACTTTGGTTTCTAAGCACAGTATACGCACTACAAAAATGTAGACTACACCACTGGTTGTCACAATAAATATCAACAGGAAGAGATTGAGGTTAAAATGTAGGTAAAATATTGAACAAATACAATACAATTTAATGATTCAGTTCATGCATTCAGTGTATGCCACCTGTATCATTTCAGGATATACTGTTCATTCTGTGGAACACATACATAAAAAAATGCTTTTAAAAATGCCGTATTCAAAACTAACCTAAATGCAATGACAGTTATTTTTCTAAGACACGATGTGCTGTATCAATAAAAACAGGCAAAAACCTTTTCCCTTTAACAGTGTACCGGTGAAAAGACATAGCACAAGATAAAATAGTAATGCTAATATCAATAGTTTGTCCATTACAGGTCAGCTAACTGTCCGGTGGAACAGTTACAAAGCTGTTCGTTTTCGATCTCACAAGGCCGATCAATACGGAGGCATACTGTTTCAATTTTGCTCCCATCGATTTTCTCTATAACACTCCAACCCCGATGCATTTGTCTTTCTGAAGGAAGGAAGATTTGATTTACTGAAGAAAAATTGGAGTGCACATCACAAAGATTTTTTGCCAGGCGGGAGTGTGACATGCCAAAAGATGGATGTCCCTTGGCTGGGAAGCCTCTAGCCTAAGGGTGTCCATTAGAGCAGCACTGCTGCAGAAAATGAGCTGCTTATATGAAGGAGGAGGGAGACGAGCTGAGGCTTGAGGTGTGTGTGTGTGTGAGATCAAGGGAAGTCATTGTACGTGAGGTCTGTTGAAGTAAACTGGAAAAATACACAACTCATTTACATTTGTCTCAAGGAAACTGGCTACACTAAATTGTCAAAAAAACACCACTGTCTAAAAAGGTGCATGCATTTCTTAAACGTCATACCCAGACCTTTTCTTTGACTTTTTCAGCTGCAGCTATCTTCCCTTTACAAAACCTCTGTGTTCTGCATCTAGAGTGAATTTCCACAGTACATTAGTCAGTCTATTAGAATGTAATACAGAGAAGGTGGAAACAAAAAGGAGTGGAGTTCGTCTCCAGAGACAGTGAGTTGGCGTTCTACATCATCTGCCCTCATCTCTCCTCTCTGTCAACTTTGTCCAGGTGTCATGTACATGAGATGATTCCTGACCCAAATAAACACTGCTGCCAGCTTGATCCTCAACGGGCCTGAGCTAAAAAAAAAGGAAAGTAAAAAGGTGGAAATGTAGGAGTTAGGGGGAAAATATATATTCCAGTTATTTCATTTGTTACCAAACATTATCAAAGTTTCTGAATTGTGAAATTGAAAGTAGGCCTGTCGCGATAAACAATAAATCAATTAATAGCATCTTCTTTTGGCTGCTCCCTGCGTTGGGGTCGCCACAGCAAACTGTCACACAAAGACGTGGCAATTATTTTTACATGGGATGTCTTTCCTGATGCAACCACAGACCACCAAGCTACCACAGCTCTCGGTGTGGAGCAGAGAGCTGCTATCTAGGGCACACAGGGGAGCAGGTGGTGGGTGTTAAGGGCCTTACTCAAGGTCCCAGAGTGGGACAAATGGGGGTGTTTCACTTATCCCACCCACATTTTTGATGTCGGTATCGGGAGTTGAACCTGCGATCTTCCGATCACAGGCCCCAGCTTCTCTAACCTATGCGCCACCACTCCCAATTAATCAAATGACAAATGAAAATGATCTACCTCATTTTCATTTATCTGCTTTATCATTTCTTCGTGTCTCTCTTTCTCAAGACACTGGATGACAAAAACTCAACTCCAGTGCTCTTCACTGAACCCTCGCTTTATCTTTTCTATTTAAAATCCATTTAAACAGTCCAAAATTGTGTTTTTGGATCATTAAAAGCAGCTAAGCTGAGAAACTAAGCTACGAGCTAAGCTAGCAGGCCGACCTCAGGAAAACACCTCCGTCTTGTCGAAGCTCCAAAATTCACAGTTGAAACCCGTGCCTTTGGGTAAAAAGTTGTTTTTCTCTGCAAAAAGAAGCTGAGAACTTGTTTACTGATTTTTTATTAAAAGCTTTGTGTGAAAAATGCTATGCTAAAGAGCTCAAATCACACCGAGCGTCCGCCATTTTGAGAACCGATAAAAAGGAAGGAGAGACAGCCCATGTCACGTCAAGGGGCCTCCCTCCCATTTTTCTTAGACACGCTGCTCGCTCCCTCCCTATCCATCCTTCGGTTCAAACAGTCTTATACTGCCATCCGGTGGTCAAAAAAAAGGTACTGCACACAAAAATATTAACCAACATTTCTTTTTAAATTTGACAATAATTGTTAATTATTGTCAAATTTCAAACAATATTATCGTTTATCGCAATAATTTCTGAGACAATTAATCGCCCAGCAAAATTTGTTATCGTGACAGGCCTAACTGAAAATAAAACAAAATCTGCCTGCGACTCTGTGGCAGCTTCAACGTTAGCATTTATTAGGTTGCTTCAATATTACATTCTAAATGAAGGCCTAGCTCTTATAGTCATGGTTCACCACTGATAAAATGTTGCCTGCTTGTCTGTCCGGCTGCTACAAGGAATCATTACTCATTACTTACTGATAAAAATGAAGTAGATAGAGAAATAAGAAAGTGCGAAAGATGCGAAGTGTAGACAAAAAGGAAAAAAATAACTGAATATTGTGACAAAGAAGCAGAGAGAAACAGAAGACAAAGCAGGAAACTGAAGGGGAGGGGAGGGGGGGGGATCATCTAACACCTCTCGTCTCCAGAGGCCAGAGCCGCTGTAAGCTGGATATTAAGACACAAATTGCATTCAGGCGGGTCAGCCCATGTCAGAAGATATTAGATACCTGCCGTGAGCAAACAACAATTCCCATCAGCTCACGAGAAAATATTTTCATTTTCAGATTCGATATTGAATGGAAACTTTGGGGAATACGCTTTTATGCTGTGTGAGGTGGCAGGCTTTTACAGCTCTGCTACAAAGAAACGGCATCATATTGTCTCTGTAGTGGATTTTGTTTTTTCCAAAGCTGGGGAAAACCTCGTGTTTATTGTGAAGATGTTGCTGCACCAAATTTAGCAAGTAAAAGTAAATTTAAAAAGTCAAACAGAAAAAAAAAATTCTGCCTGCAAGTATACAGATTTGCAGGGTTATTTGTGTGTGTATTTGTGTGTCAATCTTGTCCCTGTATTTGTTGGACTTGCAGAGCCAAATGTTTCTCCTGCGCCTGCATACCACAAGCTCTGGTGCACCACCTGACCTTCACAGTAATTGACCAAAAATATTGATGTAATGGCACAGGACTGATTGTGATTTATTAAAAGACCGCTGCACTCCAAGGCCCAGTGCCAATGGCTCCCTGCACCCATCGGCAGCCATTAGGAAAACCATCAATAGCACAGTACCATAAAGGCCCTGTAATGGGTAGGGTTTTTTTTTTTGTTTTTTTTTTAGCCGGGGCTTGTAGAACACAATATCCATACTAAGTGGCACTGCTTTATTGTGAGTACACATTTAGAAACAAAGGAGGAGAGATTGCATCAAGGAGGGGAAAACATGACAAATACTACCCCACATGCAGATATGAACAAAATAAACAGAGAAGAAATACTAAGGCAGCCTTAGATAGAATTGTGATCCAGCAGCAAACTAACCCTTGCCAGATGAGTCTCTGGAGACGTGGTTCAGCTTAACAAGCGTGAGCCAGCAGCAGTCTCTCCCGCTCACTATTACACACTACCTGCACAAACAGCCATCATTAGGGAATAGCTGCATTGAATTCTGTTGCCCATTTGGTGAAACAACAAACACGGAGGATAAGGTTCCTTCTGTTCTTTATGGGAGTAGAGATTGTTCAAATGGCTTTCATCTCCCTCCCAAGTCAATTCACTCACCCGCTGCTGACATTTTCACTTTTGCAAATTTAATCCCAGCAAAACTGTAAATATTCAAAGATGGGAAAGATAAAGCCAATAAAGCTATATGAACTATTTTATTTTTAATTTTAAGAAACAAATCTTGCTATGAGGCATTAAAAAATATGTCATTTGCTTTGTTTTGCTAGAATATTGTGCCATTTGTAAATTAATACACAAAAATCATAAAATAAACGGACTTAAGCGCATAAAACCCCACAAGAACGAAAACATTTTTGATGTTTTACCTTTTGGAAGAGTTCCCCCAGGCTCCATGTTTGTCGGTCAGGATGTTGACTATCTTCTGGATGAGCTGTGTGGCCGTCATGTGGTCTCGAAACTTAGCTGCTCTGATCAAGTGGTCGCACAGTTTCTCCTCTTCTCGTTTTTCAGCTGCGTACTCGGCGCAGTTTGACTGGTGAAGGAGACAAAGTCATAAAAGATGAAAAAAGTGACAATGTTATGGGTGTGTAGGTTGCAAAATCTTTGCATAGACACGCAAAGAGAATGAGCCATCTCAACAAATAAGCTGAAACACAGGTTCATGTAGACAATGAAACAGTGCAGATACTGGCACAACAGTGCTTTGCAAAAGCCAAAAAGAGAAGCTTAGGGTCATTTCTGTCCTCACGTCATGTTGATTAATAACAGTGGACATGTATTTTCTTATGCCCTCGGGCACACATCATCACACAATACCTACAATGCACAGGGAGGACATTTTTCTCTGTCAGAATTTGTTATCAGAATGGGCCTTTGAACTCTGCTGCAATAATGAAACTGCAGCACCTTCTGAAATGAACAGCTATAATCGCAAATTATGTTTTTATCTACATTATACATTTCAATGGTTGCATGCTCAAGTTGGACTTGTAGCTTTTATACTTAGAAACTGATAATCTTATTAACGATAAGCTTTTAAAAAGGGATAAAACTAACTTGATATACTATACATACTGGTTTGTATTAGATACATTTTTCTGGGTTATGAACACACTTCCCAAAGCGAAGTTGCTGCAACAAAAAGCATAAAAACTTAAGTCTTTACTTAGTATTGATTGTGCTTAAATGTTTTGTATTAACGTTTTGTTTCCTCACTGGTCCAAAAACAATACAGTAACTAGGGCTGGACAATAACTTGATTAGGGATGCACATTTTTTTTTACTTCCAATCCAATCCAATATCATCATCATTATTGATTTCATATAAAGCTGTAATAATCTCTCTACAGGTAAGTACAATTTGTACAAATATATGCATATCCAAAAAGACAACTTGAGGTAAGTTTTATTAATGTTGGACACGTTTCAAAGTTAGAATTAAATCCTGCTAACACAAAACATATTTGTTTTTTTATTCTTAGCTTTAAAGTGGATATTAAAGTGGTTAAATGGCTTCAAACATCTGCTAAGTTCATGGCATAAACAAACAAAGACATGTTCCTGTTTTTAGTATTTTACATCGCTTTATAATG